CGGCTGGTGCCCTCTTACATGTGTGACATGGGAGGGGGAGCTAGTTGATTTACAACATCCTTGAGCACCTGCGAGGGATACCCTTACACTTGACCTAGGGAAGGCCTAGAGTTTCTGAGATGTAAGCTGTGGTCTGACAACCCATGACTACAGTAACTTCGTGTATAGTGAGTGTGTCTTCGTGTATAGTGAGTGTAACTTCGTGTATAGTGAGTGTGTCTTCGTGTATAGTGAGTGTAACTTCGTGTATAGTGAGTGTGTCTTCGTGTATAGTGAGTGTAACTTCGTGTATAGTGAGTGTATCTTCGTGTATAGTGAGTGTAACTTCGTGTATAGTGAGTGTCTTCGTGTAAAGTGAGTGTAACATCGTGTATAGTGAGTGTGTCTTCGTGTATAGTGAGTGTGTCTTCGTGTATAGTGAGTGTAACTTCGTGTATAGTTAGTGTCTTCGTGTATAGTGAGTGTGACTTCGTGTATAGTGAGTGTAACTTCGTGTATAGTGAGTGTGTCTTCGTGTATAGTGAGTGTGTCTTCGTGTATAGTGAGTGAATCTTCGTGTATAGTGAGTGTAACTTCGTGTATAGTGAGTGTAACTTCGTGTATAGTGAGTGTGTCTTCGTGTATAGTGAGTGTAACTTCGTGTATAGTGAGTGTATCTTCGTGTATAGTGAGTGTATCTCCGTGTATAGTGAGTGTAACTTCGTGTATAGTGAGTGTATCTTCGTGTATAGTGAGTGTATCATCTTGTATAGTGAGTGTATCTTCTGTGTATAGTGAGTGTATCTTCGTGTATAGTGAGTGTATCTTCGTGTATAGTGAGTGTATCTCCGTGTATAGTGAGTGTAACTTCGTGTATAGTGAGTGTATCTTCGTGTATAGTGAGTGTATCATCTTGTATAGTGAGTGTATCATCTTGTATAGTGAGTGTATCTTCGTGTATAGTGAGTGTAACTTCGTGTATAGTGTGTGTAACTTCGTGTATAGTGTGTGTTTCATCTTGTAAAGTGAGTGTATCATCGTGTTTCACCATGGGGACGTCAGAGGGAGAGAGGGAGGGAGGAATTTAGTCACAATTGATGAAGTCTATTGAGGTTAAGAAGCTACTAGGGCGTCTCACTCTCCCTCAAGGCTGTGTGTACTGTAGTGGAGGTGTTAATGGTGGCTAGGGACCTCTGCTGGGTTAGGTTAGACTTGGTTAGGTTAGGTTAGACTTGGTTAGGTTAGGTTAGGCTTGGTTAGGTTAGACTTGTTAGGTTAGATTTGGTTAGGTTAGGTTAGGTTAGACTTGGTAGGTTAGGCAGGTTAGGTTAGGTTCGGTGTTTATGTTCGTAATTGATTTTATTAGCGTCCTGCGGGGCCTTATCGAGGCTGTAGGTGAATAATTGATGGTGACTTGTGAGTGTGTTTGTGCTGTGCTGCTCCACCATCACCTGTTTGTGACGTGTTTGGGTTTTGTTCTATGGTGTTTGGTGGAGAGAGAGAGAGAGAGAGAGAGAGAGAGAGAGAGAGAGAGAGAGATGGTCGTCTTACAATAATCATAGATCAGTACAAATGTATTTTCTGAGGTGACTTGACAGGTCAATTCTAGACTGGCGTTGTCTACCTACGTGAGTGTTGGGTGTGAGTTGGTAGGGTGAGTGTGACGGTCCATAGTTCCCTCAACAAGTGGTCGTCTCACAACTCCCAGACCTCGACCTTAATGCTTACTTAGGCCTTTATGTCTCGTTGACAGACAGACACCTTGAAGGGTCACCATAAACATGTCTCTCGTTTAGCTAGTTCTTCAGGATATATGATCACCTTGGATGTGTGTGTGTGTGTGTGTGTGTGTGTGTGTGTGTGTGTGTGTGTGTGTGTGTGTGTGTGTGTGTGTGTGTGTGTGTGTGTGTGTGTGTGTGTGTGTGTGTGTGTGTCAAACTAGAGTGGTTTTTATCCCAACATTGTAATGATGTTATACTCTGGCTTGGGTGTGAGAGGCTTGTGTTGATGATCTTGTCCTGCCAGGTTATACCTGAGTGTACTGCCCATACTCGGGTCACTAATCCTAAGGGGGATAACTTAACTCTACTCTTAATTTTAAGGTCTCTGCCACCAGACCCCCTGGACAGTATGTAGCTTGTGTAGGTAGCTGGCAGAGTAAGCCAGACATTGGGTTTGGTTTTTCATTGACCAAATCGAGAGTGGGAAGAAGGGTGAAACATCAATCATGACTTAACTAAGTTATTCCTTATAAAACATATGGCATCCCGTCACAATACTAAAAGAGCTGGCCTTCATCAGATGAACCACTATTATGTTCATTACACTTCACATCAGTATACGTCCTTCATCAAATAACTACTATTATTATTATTATTTTTTATTTATAGGGCACTCCCCTACATCCTTGTGCAAGGTGAAGCGCAGAAGCGTTTACAGCGCCCAACAGGGAAGCATGCAAAGTTCATGCTTGCCTTTATGCCTCATGAGTTAAGGGCTTATTGTAGAAGCCTGAAGAGTCAGTGGTGTATGTCATCAAGTTATTGGAAGCTCCAACAACTTGTCCTTGAATACGAATTCGCAACTTTCGACTTACAACAGGTACCTACTTTACTGCTAGGTGAACAGGGACTAATGGGGGCTAGGAAGTATGTACTGTACTTTATTAACCTTGTTACGAGCAAAAACACGTTGTTTACTTGGCATAAGTAGGAACCTTAAGCCAAGTAAACAAAGTGTTTTTGCTCGTAACAAGGCTAATAAAGTACGTGGGTTCATACATAGGAGTGTTAGTTACAAGACTAGCAAGGTCATCCTAAAACTGTATCTTGCTCTTGTGAGACCACACCTGGATTACGCAGTTCAGTTCTGGTCACCGTATTACAGAATGGATATAGAATCATTGGAAAGAATTCAGAGGAGAATGACAAGACTAATCCCGGGCATTAGGAACCTTGAGTTTAGAGACAGGTTAAAGCATCTTAATCTGCACTCCCTCGAGAGACGTAGAGCGAGGGGCGACCTGATAGAGGTGTATAAGTGGAAGTCAGGGCTAAACAAAGGGGACATTACAAAGGTACTCAAACTATCCAACCAGGAGCGAACTCGTAACAATGGTTTTAAATTAGACAAATTTAGATTTAGGCGTGAAATAGGTAAACACTGGTTTGGAAACAGAGTTGTGGATGAATGGAACAAGTTACCAAATATCATCATTAACTCGAATACGCTGAATAGCTTCAAACATAGGCTGGATGCTTATATGAGCAATAGGGGTTGGGTGTAAACGGGACTGCCCAGTATGGGCCAATAGGCCCGCTGCAGTTTCCTCCGTTCTTATGTTCTTATGTCCAAACAACTTCCACCGGCCCGGGAATCGAACCCGTGACATCTCCCTTGAGAGGCAAGAACGGTACCGCTTCTACCACCGGTCCCCAACTACTTTTATCATCTCCATTCTTCATAACAACCATTGACCTCCTTACCTCGGCCATTCCTTCTTACCATAACACCCAACACATCCCCTCGTGGGCAATCTGTAAAAAATCATCAGACTGCACCACATGTGAGATTATAGCACCACTTTATAACATGGGGCAAGGTTTTAAGGTGTAAAAAACTGCTAGACACGTCTCTTGAGTGCTCATGAAGCACGATGGAGTTCACTGACCTGTTTTGGTCAGGCGTCACTGAGGGCGATGCCTGGCGTCTCACACTCAACGTGGCCTACAGTTTCCAATCTTTAATTATCACTTTGATATTATTCTGGTTCTCACATATACACTTTCCTATCTATTGTGACCTTATGCCTTATAATTATATATCTTATTCCTAAATTACATACTAAAGTAAGGGTCTGGTTTGCTAGTTCCTGGGGAATTTCATTGGGTTATAACAACCTCGGCACCGTAGCCCGGGGCAGCCTAGGTGCCAACCCGAACAAAGGCCTAGCCTCGTGTTTTTTTGGTGTGGGTATATCCACTTAACTTCAATCTGTATTTAGGGATCCTCCCCTCACACGTTGCAATCGTTGAACACATTCATAAGATTCTCTGATCATTGAATTGTTCGCGGTTATTTGTCACATGAGATAACGAGGTATATTAAGCTCACACCGAAGTATACAAGATATTTTCTTTGAAGTATAGTTTCTGGATCACTTCCAACACTTCACATATGTCTGATACATTTATCCTTTTTCAGATCATTGTTCTCATATATTTTCATCTGATACCTGAAGTAGCTATGCTTACTAATCGTTCACAGACGTAAATAGTATGACCTTCAGACACGGTCTCCACTTATCCCTTATAGTACACTAGTCTGTATCAATTGGACCTTCCCAATCATCCTGTAGATAGCTTGAGTTCTCCTTAATGCTATAAGTACATACACTTAATATTATATGACCGTACATTGGTACAATTCTTATAAAACAACATACAGCAGGCGAGTTATTCCTTATAAAAATGTCTCGTTTTCTACCGTTTATGTTATGTAGCGTAATATGAATTGAAAGAGATATTAAGGATAACAATGGTGTGCGCACTACACGAGGTGTGTTGGAGGCCGAGGGGATGTGTTAGCAGGGTTGGTTATCTGCTCATAGTCTCCTCCTCGACAAGTTCTTTCCAGGATCCACTTCTTACAGGCGCCTGCCATGAAAAACACCGCCAACATTACCCGCCACCTTCGCGTGGTATCCCCCTCCCTCCCCTCCTGCATCCTAACCAAACCTAACCCATCCTCCCGAAAATGATGAGGTTTATTTAAGCTCCGTCGGGTTAACTATATCTCGCTTTGTACCAGTACTGAGGCGCGCCTGTCGTGATTAAGAGGTCAAAGGCAAGTTGAGCCTCGGCCTATAACCTTACCGCTAGCATTGAGCCTTATTCCTAATATAGTTAATTTAAGGCGTTTAGCCGTTATGTCCGCCAGTGTTCAGTATAGAGAGAGCATAAGGGTAGACGGGTGAGGGAGGCGGTGGGACAGGTAGACAATCAGAGGTGGTCAGTGTGTGTGTGGTAGTGCCAGTGACAAGTAGTGCGCCGCGCGCTCCTCCTCCACCCGCTGGCTCCATCACCCCTCGACAACCGATAGAGCCTTTCAGTATAATTCTTACAGCTATTCAGTTTTAATGTTTGGTTGTGATGGTTGTGTGTTGTGCCCTGCATATAATATGGTCATTGTTGTTTGTATATTAACTGTGATCAGCGTTTGAATTTATTACTGTTGTGTTTTAAATTGAAAAGTGTGTTTAGTGGTGTCCGTATATAGGTTCAGTGTTCACCGCATTGATTACTGTCGTCACCTGGCCAACAGGTAGCCACAGTGTGACCGTCTTATAAGATGACCTCACGAGCGCCAGGTACAGCACACGAGAGAGAGAACTTAAGGAAATCTTGCTTTGTTTCTCCATAGGAAGCGTCAGGAGGCTACGGCGCTAAACTACTGTAGTTGTGGAGAACTGACGACTCCAGTCAGCTTACTCTTAACTCATGCCTCTCTCGACCACACTGACGTAGACTGTAGCAAGTGTCCGGCCAGTTAATGTTAACCTCCGGCCAGCGCCCCATATTACGGCCAGCGCCCCATATTACGGCCAGTTAATGTTATACTCCGGCCAGTGCCCCATATTACGGCCAGTTAATGTTATACTCCGGCCAGTGCCCCATATTACGGTCAGTTAATGTTATACTCCGGCCAGTGCCCCATATTACGGCCAGTTAACGTTATACTCCGGCCAGTAGTGGTGGTGGCGGCTGTTGGTCGCACCTGCCTTTTGTAACGTTTTTTACTTAATTTTATTGAATATTTTGTAATATTTGATACACACACATGAATACATATATACAGTATATATATATATATATATATATATATATATATATATATATATATATATATATATATATATATATATTAACAGGTGGTTATAGCATAATCATTGTTTGTCCAGGTGAGTACAGATTCAGGTCTGTACTCACCCTGAAGATGTGAATTGCACGAAAGCGCTTGGGAACTTCTGTGTTTTCTTCCTGTGGTTAAATTATTTATATAATATATATATTATATATTATTATATATATATATATATATATATATATATATATATATATATATATATATATACATAATTTTAATATTGAGTACAACGGGTATAAGTTTATAGTGTTATTGATAAAAGCTTTATTATATTATTACTATTCTTGTCACTTGAACTATAATTTTTTTTCGTGAAGTTCATTTTCTGTTTGGATCATTGTTGTTCACCTCGCTTTACTGACTTACTTACGGACCTTTTTCTGAGGGAGGTCGTCTGACTTCCTGCCACCACCACCACTCTGCCAATGTCACTATACTGAATTTTCCTGGTGGGGGGTGCTGGCTGTTCATCCTCACGTTCACACACACGGGTAAGGTTAGGGTTTACACACAACGGGTTATGTTAGGTACACACACACACACACACACACACACACACACACACACACACACACACACAACACACACACACTGTACCGGGTGACGTAACAACCCATGTTGATATTATTATAGTGTGTGTTACCTGAGCCTAGTTTACACGTTAAAAGGTGACCATCATCGTCTGTCTGCAGGTGATGGTGCTCATATCATCTGTTATCACTGGTCCTACTGTAAGTCACCTCATTAGTTAGGTTAATGGTGGAACTAACACCGGCAGAGAGAGAGAGTGAGGGAGAGGTACTGAGAGGGAGAGGGAGAGGTACTGGAGAGGGGAGAGGGGAGGCACTGGAGAGAGAGGGAGGCACTGAGAGAGAGGGAGAGGGACTGAGAGAGAAAGGAGGTACTGAGAGAGAGAGAGGGAGGGACTGAGAGAGAGAGGGAGGTACTGAGAGAGAGAGGGAGGGACTGAGAGAGAAGGGAGGTACTGAGAGAGAGAGAGAGAGAGAGGGACTGAGAGAGAAAGGAGGATTGAGGAGAGGGAGAGGCACTGAGAGGGAGAGGGGGAGTACTGAGAGAGAGAGGAGGTACTGAGAGAGGAGGCAGGCAGGGAGTGCCGAGAGAGAGGAGAGGAGACAGGAGGAGGAGCAGAGGGGGAGGCTCGGAGAGAGGGGGAGAGGACTGAGAGAAGAGGGCGAGCCCAGAGAGAGAGAGAGAGAATGAGAGAAGGGAGGCGACGGAGAGGAGGGGCGAGACTGGAGGAGGAGGCGCGCTGGGGAGGGGAGGAGTACGAGGGGAGGAGGAGGCCGGAGGAGGAGGGAGAGGCCGAGAGAGAGGTGGCAGGGAGAGCGGGAGGAGAGAGAGAGGGGAGGGGGAGGGAGGAGGAGAGAGGCTGGAGGAGGGAGAGCTGGAGAGGAGGGAGGAGGAGGAGTGGGTGGAGGCGACTGGAGGAGAGGAGGGAGCAGGAGAGAGGAGGTGAGGGCTAGGAGGGAGGCGTGGAGGAGGCACCGGAGGGGGAGGAGATACAGGGAGAGGAGGAGAGGAGGTACTGAGGAGAGGGAGAGGAGAGGAGGCACTGGAGAAGAGGGAGGGAGGTACTGAGAAGAGAGGAGAGGGAGGTACTGAGAGAGAGAGGAGAGGGACTGAGAGAGAGAGGAGAGGGAGGTACTGAGAGAGAGAGGGAGAGGAGAGAGGTACTGGGAGAGAGAGAGGGAGAGGGGAGAGAGGAGAGAGGTACTGAGAGAGAGAGGGGAGAGGAGGTACTGAGAGAGAGGGGAGAGGAGGTACAGAGAGAGAGGGCCGAGAGAGACAGGAGAGGGAGGTCACTGAGAGAGAGAGAGGTACTGGAGGAGAGAGGGGAGAGGGCAGAACTGAGAGAGGCAGAGAGAGGAGGCCGAGAGAGAGAGGGACTGAGAGAGGAGGGAGGCGGAGAGAGGAGAGGACTGAGAGGGAGGAGAGGTACTGGCAGGAGAGAGAGGAGGAGAGGGGAGGTACTGAGAGGGGGAGGGAGACAATGGGAGAGAGGAGAGGGACTGAGAGGAGAGGGAGTACTGAGAGAGGAGAAAGGAGGTACTGAGAGAGAGAGGGGAGGCATGGAGAGAGAAAGGAGGGGAGAGGGGGAGGCTGAGAGAGAGAGGGGAGAGGGGAGGTACTGGAGAGGGGAGAGGGAGGTGGAGAGGGAGAGGGGGGAGGTACTGAGAGGAAGGGGAGGAGGTACAGAGAGAAGGGAGGAGGTACAGAGAAGGTGAGGCACAGAGAGAAGGGTGAGGCACAGAGAGAAGGGGTGAGGTACACAGAGAGAAGAGGAGGCACAGAGAGAAGGGTGAGGTACACAGAGAGAAGAGGAGGTACACAGAGAGAAGGGAGGGCCACAGAGAGAAGAGAGGCACACAGAGAGAAGAGGAGGCACACAGAGAGAAGAGTGAGGCACACAGAGAGAAGAGGCAAAATGAGGCACACAGAAGAGAGTGGAGGGCACAACAGAGAAGGGGATAAAACAAAAGGAGGCAATAAAAAGAGGAGGCAAAAGACAGGGAGGTACACAGAGAGAAGAGGAGGTACACAGAGAGAAGAGGAGGCACAGAGAGAAGGTGAGGCACACAGAGAGAAGGGGTGAGGCACACAGAGAAGGGGAGGTACAGAGAAGGGTGAGGTACACAGAGAGAAGGGTGAGGCACACAGAGAGAAGGGTGAGGCACAGAGAGAAGGGGAGGCACAGAGAGAAGGGGAGGTACACAGAGAGAAGGTGAGGAACACAGAGAGAAGAGTGAGGCAAACAGAGAGAAGAGGCAGAGGACACAGAGAGAAAAAGAGGATACTAATAGCGGAAAAAGAAAAAAAGGAGCATACAGAGAGAAGAAAGAGGCACACAGAGAGAAGGGTGAGGCACACAGAGAAGGGGTGAGGCACACAGAGAGAAGGGTGAGGCACAGAGAGAAGGGAAGAGGCACACAGAGAAGGGGTGGGAGGCACACAGAGAGAAGGGGTGAGGCACACAGAGAGAAGAGGAGGTACACAGAGGAGAAGAGTGAGGTACAGAGAGAAGGGTGAGGTACACAGAGAGAAGGGTGGAGGCACACAGAGAGAAGGGTGAGGTACACAGAGAGAAGGGTGAGGCACACAGAGAGAAGGTGAGGTAACACAGAGAGAAAGGGGGATGTACACAGAGAGAAGAGGAGGCACACAGAGAGAAGGAGGCACACAGAGAGAAGGGGAGGTAACACAGAGAGAAGAGGAGCAACACAGAGAGAGAGGGAGGTACACAGAGAAGGAGGCACACAGAGAAGAGGAGGCACACAGAAGGAGGACAGGAGAGAAGGGGACGCACACAGAGAAGGGGTGAGGCACACAGAGAGAAGGGGGAGGCACACAGAAGGGGAGGCACAGAGAGAAAGGGGGAGGTACACAGAGAAGGGAGGTACACAGAGAGAAGGGGAGGGGAGGCACACAGAGAGAAGGGGAGGCACACAGAGAAGGTGAGGCACACAGAGAGAAGAGGGAGGTACACAGAGAGAAGGGTGAGGCACACAGAGAGAAGAGTGAGGCACACAGAGAGAAGGGTGAGGCACACAGAGAGAAAGAGTGAGGTACACAGAGAGAAGGAGAAACGTGAGAGAGAGGAAAGTGAAAGAGCACTGAGGGACATAGGCTGGGGTGAGGCACACAGAGAGAAGGAGGCACACAGAGAGAAGGGAAGAGGTACACAGAGAGAAGAAAGTGAGGCACAGAGAAGGGGGAGCACACAGAGAAGGTGAGGTACACAGAGAGAAGAGGGAGGTACACAGAGAGAAGGGGTGGAGGCACACAGAGAGAAGGTGAGGTACACAGAGAGAAGGGGGGAGGCACACAGAGAGAAGGGGGAGGTACACAGAGAGAAGGGAGGTACACAGAGAGAAGAAAGGAGGCACACAGAGAGAAGGGGAGGTGACACAGAGAGAAGGTGAGGTACACAGAGAGAAGAGGAGGTACACAGAGAAGGGGTGAGGCACACAGAGAGAAGGGTGAGGGCACACAGAGAGAAGGGGTGGAGGTACACAGAGAGAAGAGGAGGCATACGGAGAGAGAAGGAGGCACACAGAAGAGGAGGCACACAGAGAGAAGAGTGAGGTACACAGAGAGAAGAGGAGGCACACAGAGAGAAGAGTGAGGCAAATACAGAAGGAGGCACACAGAGAGAAGGGTGATAA